TTGCCATATCTGCCTAGTTGTCAACAAAAGAACATAAGCAAAAACTTTATACCCCAAATMCATAAAAGGAAAACGCCAAAAACCTTTAGCAATTTTTTATAAAAAAAAGTTGCAGAAAGGAGTTCTACGCGAAAGAACTGTGAACACCCCGGTGTTGGATCGACCAGGGCTATTTTTTTTGAAGCGCGACCGAAGGCCACCAGTGCAGAAGGGAGTTCTACGCGAAAGAACTCTGAACAGCCTGGTTTTGGATCAGCCAGGGGTATTTTTTTTGAAGCGGGGTATAATGCTTTTGCTTATTTCCTTTTGTTGACAACTAGGCAGATATGGCAATACCATTTATTTGCTAGTATGCAACCCTATTCTTGATGTGCAAATGCAGTGAATTTAACTAAAACAAAATAATTGAAATAAAGCTTTATTTGCAATAAATATTAAAAAAATTTATATACAAAAACGTTATAGTGAAGTGTTAGTAAGTGAAAAGTGCATAATATAAGTGAAAAAGTTATTCACATTAAACAAATTATCAATTTAAAAGTTGTAAATTTTTTAACTTTAAACGCAAATATCTTTAAAACTATAAGTCAGCGGCAACTATATATATATATTTTCGTGATCTGGAGAAYGTCACCTTTCCAATGACACCCATTTTATCCTCGAAATTCGGGGAYKCTATTCTAAATTTTACMCTTTTCAACTTTAAACGCGAATATCTCGAAAACTACAAGCTCCTGTGGCTATAATTATATACATATATTCTTAATCTGGAGAATCTCCTCTTTCCGACCATACCCATTTTAATCCCGAAATCCTGGGACAGTATACTAAATTCTTCCCGAAAATTATTTGCAATGGCTGACCAAATCCCATGTTTATTCTCGTGCAATGACACGTAAAAAGAATACAAAAAGCCATGCACAATAGTCATTTACAATAGGAGTATTCTCTTGCTCTTGCAAAACCCTTGCACGGTGCAAAAATTGCATATTTTTCTATCTAATACAACAACACAACAACAAACATACGCAGAAAAATATTTGTAAGAGCTGTAAATCAGAGATAATGAGACTTCTCTCTCACTGGAAATAAGAGAGCAATTGCTAAACGTCAAAACCTACCGAACTTTGACAGTTGACTGGATTGAGTAGGTTTTRMCGTTTTGCAATTGGAATGACTGGAACGGCYAGATTGAAATTATACCAAAAATATATGTGAACGGAGGAATTTATTGCCGCCGTTCAAGATCGCTAATAAAAATTTAAAATAATGAAAAACAAAGAAAATGCGAAATTTATATATATATTATGAAACGTTTTGTAATTTGATGCATAATAGAATTAATTTTCTATTACAAATGATTAAAAACATTTATTAATTTAGAACTAACAGGCTTTATTCACCTTATTAAGTATTGAAATATCGAAAGTCAGTTATTTTAATATACCATAAAATCATAAAAAAGGAATTAAATAGTTTCGCCATATATTAAAAGTCCAATATATAATAATTTGCAATCGTAATAAATGTTGGGTATTTTAATTTAAAATGTCCAAAAATTCTTATTTGGTGCGATCTGGCCATAATGGAAAATGTTATAACAAACGCTTATTTTGAGGCGCTCTACACTGGAATAAGTTGGGCATCCCATTATCCCTGCTGTAAATTATGTCAGACCAAAACTCATGTATATTTACATGCATGTGACGCTAAAATATAATTGCAACCCTGTTTTAGCTATCATTTTAAATTTTAAAACTGTATGCAGAAGGCGCGCCAATTCACAATAGCCATGAACAATAGTCATTTACAATAAATCGACCTAATAAGTCGTTCATATATCACTAGATTCTGCAATAAGTGCTCTCTCACCCTTGTATATTTTGGTATAGGATTTTTGTAATCTGAAATCTTGCAAGAGCAAGAAAATTCCCCTAATATATATACAATATCGGAAATATGTCTCAGGTGAAGAATGTAAGTATACATGACAAATAGCACGTTGTCTAAACATCTTCCTTAATATTGCAAGTAAAGGAAAGCTAAGTTGGGGTGAAATTTGTTCAAAGGCGGGGAAAACTTTGAATATATTTATATCATATTTATTATTTTGTTAACTTAATTATAGTTCATAAGCTCATCCAATTTCATAATTTTATTTTCCTCGACATCGAAATATTTAAAGTTATGGTTCATTCGACTGTTTTTCGACGTTAAATTGCAAATCTCATTGATGCTTGTTTATGTAGAGGTTTTCAACTAGGACGAACAAAAGTGGACCGATAGGGACAGCAAACCAGGGGATAAGTAAGGCATAGATAATAGTAAGGTTTGCCATTTAATCGTGGAAAGATATACCAATTAAACGAGTTGAAATTGTTAAAATGTATCACCGAAATTCGGAGTCAGTGGCCTCAACTTTAAGAGCGGGGTTTTTAATAAAAGCGCTACAATTTTTTTTTAAATGAAACGAAAACGAATCTCGAAAAAAATTACGGATTGGTACGATTTATGGGCCGGTGGCGTCATTGGACCATACTTCTTCCGTGATGATTGAAAATCAAGTTTTGTGAACGTGTTATCAATTGACCGCCTCTGTCGTGCGATTTTACGCCGTTAGACTATTCTTGTGGAACCACGTCAAGTCTATGGTCTATGCCAACAAGTCAGCGACGATTGATGACCTTTGTACGAATATCGAATGTGAAGTTGCAGCAGGATTGGCGATTTATGTATGCTTGAAAACCGTCGAAAATTGGGTTCAGCGTTTGGACATCTGCTACCGTGCCTGATGTGACTATTAAGCAGAATATACTTTCAGAGAAATAAAGAATTTCATTAATATTCCAAACTATTTTTGTTTTATTTAAAACTTTTTTAGCGTTTTTATTGACAAAATGAAATTAATCATCAAAAATTTAAAATCGTTATATATGGCGTGTTGGGTTTTGAAGCCCTCGCGCAATTCTCCATATAAAAGAAATTCCAGTTTATTGTATATGGAATGTTTTTTCGCAAATAATACACCCACGCCGTTAGTTCAAACAAACAGTCGTCGCCTCAGTATATACAGTAATAAACACAGTATATACAGTAGATAACCTTTTCGTGGTAGCTTTCTGAGGGGTGAATAGCGGCCATCTTGGATTTTCAGAGGTAGCAACGCAGTGCTRTATATATTGAGGTAGTAAATACTTAGCAAATGTATTCTAATAAATAGCTAAAGCTATAAACATTGTTGCTAAATATAAAAGGAAATTATTTATTAATGACATATATTTACTAATATTTGATTTAAACGCCATAGTGTGTCATGTTTCGCCCATTAAAATATCATTTACTGATAGTCAGATAT